AAATGACTTAGGTGTACAAACGCAACCCTACGGGCTGTGAACATGGGGAGCTTCTGCGCCATTGGGGGTGCTCTGATCACCTCCGGCCCTGCAGGATGTTTCACTTAAAAAAAATGAGGATGGACGCTCATTCTCACTTTAACCACCACCACCTCTGAGCCTCTCTTTGCCGAGGCGGAAAAGAGCTGTGCTCCAAATTTTGGCAAAGTAGTGCACTTTCTTCTTTCCATTGTTTTGGCTGGTGCTGCCAGTCATTTTGGTCCCGTGGCGCCCGGCCTCTCAAAAATGCGGTATAGGTACGAACTTACTATAAAGCCAGTGCGGCTTTTTTTTTTTTTTTTTTTTTTTGGCTTTGGTCCGGTGGCGCCCGGCCTCTGAAGAATGCCATACAGTTAATTATACACCGATTCTTAGGAGGTTTTAAGTTTGCCTGTGAAAGGTAGCGGTGGTTTGACGTACTACAGGCCCTTGAACCACCAGTGCTTCAGGGCCACTTTCTTCTGGGCCTACAAACGCCCTGTGCGCCACGCTTTGCCGAACCACCCGCGTGACATTTCTTTTTCTTTTGGCTGGCAACCCCAGCCATTGTGGTCCGGTAGCACCGAAGCCTGGTTAACGTGGCGCATTAACGTCAAGGGCCCGTGGCCGATGTATGGGCCAAGTACTGGCGGTTTCATGAAGAAAAACGAAGCACGAACTGGCCCACAATAAAGAAAAGACGGGGAAAAAGAAAAAAATAAAAATTAGAAAAAGAAAAGCTATAAGAAAGGACTGCTGCTCACTTTCCATCAAGAACTAACTAAAGGCAAACTGGGACGGCATTCACACATCACCCATAGGCCGGGTGCTGGCAATAAACAACGCCGTCCTGGCCACAATGTGGTACAAGACAGCCTTTTGGAAAATCCCAAAAGCACAGCTGGCGGCACTGCGGGCGGCTGTATCTGCTTTCTTATGGAAAAATGATAATGAGCAAAAGGAATGAATTAAGAGGGTGGGCTGGAAGTACATCACCCAACCCAAAAAAGTGGGTGGCGTGGGCATATTGGACCCAGGGACGAGATCAAAGCACTTATTTTTAAAGTGATCACTAGATTGCTGCTGGCTACAGATGTCCCCTGGGTACCATTGGCCCCCATCCAGCTGGCTCTTTTGGCCCCTCCGTCCCCATCTGAAAACCCGGTCCACCCACTGCGCTGGCTAACAAACAGTGCCTTGTCTATTCCAGGTCCGCCAAAACACAAGCGGGATGGGACATCACGCAACGACACTAGGTGGGACCTTAAACACAGACCCAGTCTGGATGAACATCCTGCGTTTGTGGCATGACATGGGCCTGTCAAACAAACCTCCTCCCCCAGATGGCATGGCATCTGGAGGCAACACATAATTGGAAACCCACATATACTAGATGATACCGGCCACCCTTTCTCCCTGGCAACCAGTAGCCATTGGCTGATATGGGTGAAAAAAGGCCTATTTGTGATAGGGGATCTGTGGGAGGTATAGCCCGTACGATACATGGAAGACGGCCCAACAACTGCAACCAGCAGTCAAACACATATAGTCAGAAGAAACTCGACCGACTTCAGAATGCAGTACCCCTGAGTTGGGTGGCAGCGCTAAAAAACGGCCCACAACAAAGGACGTATGACTGGGTTTCCAAAAACAACGCCATCCCCATCCCCATGGTCATATATAGAGTATCCAAAGTGACTACTGAGGCAATGGAGCTGTAGGCCTATGAACTGGACTTGCCAGCGGTGGAGTGGGCTTGTTTGAGAAATAATTCTGACCTCGACTGCCAGCAACTAACAGAAACCTCTCCAGAATCAGAGTAGTGGGGGATTAACACAGGGTACTTCGCCTTTGAGATGGCCTCCTCGATCTGTGCCCTGCCTTTTGACACAGAAGAAAGGGAATGGTCGGGCCACAAACCCACCCCGATCTGGCAATACACAGTAACGGGAGGGTACAAACAGGCACACCATCTCCACCCATCAACTCCAATCGTCTGCAATAGATGGAACCGCGACTCACCGCTGGAAGAATCAAATGTCAGAGATATCCCATGGACCTCCTATGTACACATTATGCCGACCTCTCACCAGGCCCTCCAGTGGCAGATCATGCATCGGTGCCTCACAACCCCGGACTTGATAACAGCACGTTCAAATCTTGAACAAAAAGGGGTGTTGTCTCCAATATGTTCCTATTGTGGGCAGTCATCATCACAACGCCGGGTAGCAGACTTGGAACACTGCCTACTGGCCTGCCCCATGGCTCTCCCAGTCTGGCGCTGGTGGGAACACTCCGACACAAACTGTCAGATACCCCCTTCCAATGGGATATCACACTAATCCTGTTGGGAAGACAAAAGGATTACCCAGCCACCTGGTCAGCATTTCAACGAAACCTGTTCAAACACACTCGGTTGGCCATACATATGGTCATCTGGAGAATGAGATGTTTGGCTGACCGAAAAGAGTTCACCTGTGGCCTTCCTGAGGCTAAAGTAGAGATCGTGGAAGTGATCAGGACAAATAGCAAAGGCCAGTTGAAAGCTTGCCGTTGATCTGACTACAATAGCAGACCCGAGGGTGAAGCAGCAAGATAGGTTCAGGGCCCTCTGGCTAGACACCCATCGAAAAATGGCTGATATACAGGAAGATGGGAAATTCATATGGAAGAACTGGGTAGCCCAAGAAAAGCAGTGGCGAGTCAGACCACTAGATTGCTTCCACACACCGTTGCCCGGACAGAACACGGGCACAGTAAGAGAAGCGGTTAACATATCCCTAAATTTTCAGGGTTTCCAGGGTCATTATAACAAACCTGTCACACCTTTTTAACCAGACTTGTCACCAGTCCATAGAGTGGACAGCAAATAAAAACAGGGCAAAAAAAAGAAGAACAAAACCGAAAAAAATTACCCCCAAATGCACTTTTCAGTGCTGGGGGGGGGTTAACCTGGGGCTGAAAAGTGGGGGTCCCTGTTAACCGCTTGTGCCCACCCCCCCGCTGCCCCCGACACCATCCCAGGCCCATCGTCCCCTCTCCCAACCCCCCCAGATGCCCCCCTATCCTTGTCATCCCCCCTACCCCAGGACCCCCCCTCGGCCCATCCCTCTGCCACCCTCTGTCCCCTATACCTGTTCACCCTGAGTTTCACCCCTCCAGCATGGGCCCAGCGACTCCAGCTCAAATCCACAACTCAAGGAGGTCAGACAAACAACAGCAGTACTACAGAAGATGTGACTACCCCAACCCAACATTGGCAACTGCAAAAAAGCAAGGGATTCTGTGAATGCACACAAGGAGGACATCAGAAGGTCGAAAGCCGCCCAAGATGAAAACGGAAGACAAGGGCTCCATGACAGCAGAAGGGAATGGTGGCTACACTCCCCCTGGTACAGGGGCCAAAGGAGGGGAAGACCACCGCTTACCCTGCAAAGACTCCCTGCGGCAGCAGCTCTTCACCGACCTCACTACTCCCAGCCATCGGCAAACATGAAGGGCCCACAAAGCCCTGCCAGCACAAGTCGGGTACACCTGCCCTCACCTCGCCTCGGGGGGGACAGGTAACAGAAAGGACAGCAAATTCTGCCAATATATGTCAGTTGTGCGAACATTTGTCAGTCATTGTTTTGTCTTGTAATATGAGGGACGCTGGCAGGTGCAGCTCCCCACCAATAGATGGAGCCTTCAACCAGGGAGCCACTTCGGGAGGCTGCTCTTACCACCTCCCTAAGTGGCATCCACGACTCGAAGTTAAAAGCAAAAAAAAGAACTAATTTGGCCTGTCCAACTAGGAACAGCAGTCACAATCAAACCGCAGTCAGACTGAACTGATCCGGTGAACTCGGATGAACTCCGATGTATAAGCCGGATGCCCTTACCGCTGCAACTGTGACGGGTATTCAAAACTGAAGCCATACACTCAGCCCACCCCAGCACAGTTGCAGCAAGGACTTACACTGTAGCTCGTGCGACATCCATGAGATCGTCCGGAGCCAGATTCACGCAGACACCAACATCCAGGTGATCATCCCCTGGCTGGTTACTACGCTCGTATACTGTCCAACTATGAACAGCAGGCCGGTACCCAAACCCCAGACTACCTTCCCCACGCCTCCTGGGGAGCAAGGGCCTTTCTTCCCTCAAATTGCTCAGGTCATCCAGGCCCGTGATTTTCCTTTCAAAGAGCCGATTCAAAGGTTTTGCACTATTCTAATCCAGCTTCCTATTGCTTTTTTTTGTTTTTGTTTTGTCTATGGCATATAAAGAACACACGTTCACACTTGTCGCTGAAACACACACGTGGTAATCACATCCCTTCACACACATTCAAACTCACAAACACAGAGGAAGGAGCTGGGAGGAAGAGAAAGGAGAGTGAAAGTTTGTGGGAAAGCATGGCTCGGCAAGCACACACACACACACACACACACACACACACACACACACACACACACACACACACACACACACACACACACA